CTGGTGTAGTTTGAACAGGAGCGGGCGGTCTAAAAATATCACTCTCGACTCCAGAGCAAGCGAACGAGCATGTGTATTTATGTGTGTGAATTAGAGAGCGTGATGCTGTGTTTAGCTGGTTTGTTCCTGTCTATGTGTGAGTGTGTGTGAATGAGAGAGAGAGCTTGGTGCTGTCTATGTGTGAATGAGAGAGAGCGTAATTCTTTCTATGTGTCACTTGCTTGGTGCTGTGTGTCTATCTGTGTGTGTGTGTTTATACAGACAGCTTGTAATAGTCTGTCTGGACTCTGTATAGCTGGGTGGCACCGATAGCGGGAATGGGTGCGGCGATTAGAAAATGGGTTGGGTCGGGCAGCGGGACAACAAATACTGATTATAAGCGGGAACAGTCGGGTTTGGACTAAATCCTGGCGGGAGTGGGATTAAAAATTTTGTCTCGCGCAGATCTCTAGTGTGGGTTTCCTCCGGGTGCTCCGGTTTCCCCCACATTCCAAACATGCACTATAGGGGAATTGATGGACTAAATTGACCGTAGTGAATGAGTGTGTATGGGTGTTTCCCAGTACTGGGTTGCGGCTGGAAGGGCATCCAATGTGTAAAACATATGCTGGAATGGTTGGCGGTTCATTCCACTGTGGCGACCCCTGATAAATAAGGGACTAAGCTGAAGGAAAATGAATGAATGAAAAATAAAGCATATAATCAAAAAGGCAATGCATGCAAAGAATTTATATAATCTATGTTTGTTTGTTTTCTGTATTTACCACAGCATGTATATTAGCGTAATATTAGAAATAAAATATTGAAAATATAATTAAGCATAATTTTAAGAAAAGTAATGTAATGCATGCAAAGAATAAATAATCAATGTTTGTTTTCTGTCTATACTATAACGTGAACATATATTAAAATATTAATTTTAAAAAATAAATATAGAAAAATAGAATCAAGCATATTATTAATAAAGGCAATGCAATTTATGCAAAATTATATATAAATTTTTTTGTCTTTACTATAACGTGAATATATATAAAAATATTAGGGTAAAAAATTAAATCTTGAAAATCAAACCTATTATTAAATAAGGCAATGCAATTTATGCAAAAATTTAAATTACCAAATTATAAAAAATATAAAATATATATTAATAAATTCAATGCAATGCATGCAAAAAATTAAATAATCAATATTTGTTTTTTGTATTTACTACAGCATCCATAAAAGTCCTTGATTTTTATTAGGCTGTGTCTATGCCCTGCCCTGTATATAATATTAGTGTGAAAAATAAAATTAATAAAAGCGTAAAAATTTAAGTACTATAATCATGCATATTATTAATAAAAACAATACATGCAAAAATATAATCAGTGTTTGTTTTGTTTGTTTTCTGTCTTCACCACAGTATTTGCATATAACATTTTAGTGTCTGAAGATTAAATATTAAAATGTAAAGCATAAAATTAAGCATATTATAAATAAAAGCATTGCAATGCAAGTCAAAAAATTAAAAAATTAATCCAAAGTTTATTTGTTTAGTTTTGTTTGTTTTCAGTCTTCTCTTCAGCATATGTGCATGTATATATTTTTCTTTACATTCTACCTCGGTTCCCATCATTGTTTCCCTGTATGCCGGAAGCTTTCCCCCCCCGCTGTGAGTGTGTGTGTGTATTGTCTGGGTCTGTGGGTACAGAGATGCTGCTGTATTTATGACTGTAACACACACACACACACATACACACAGAGGCTGTTGTTTGTCTGTATAGCGCTGCTCCTCGGGCCCCTGCTCCTCCATTGTGTGCGGATGAGACAGAAATCAAACACAAAGGAGGATCTGATGCTCTGGAGGCCCCGGGGCCATTGTTATGAGCAGGGGCCCATTCTGCTTTGATCACCTTCAGGAAAACCTGCAGACATTGAATGTAAATCTTCTTTATACTCAATATTGCATACAGTTAAGTGCTGACTGACCGACCAGACGAGAGCTTGTCATATTTTAGAGGAAATATTTTGAAGAGTTATAATAAAATACTGCATGAGAGAATCTCATTACTGTACTTAATATCTAACTGATAAAAAACTTTGCATACTGTTAAGGACAGACCTGCGCGAATGTAGAGCTTTGCACATTTTATATTAATTATTTACACATTTTTACAATAATAAGATGTGAGATAATCTCATTACTGTACAAAAAAAAATAACTAAAATTGGATATATAATAAAAGTAAAGGAAAAATTACAGAAAATTGTAAATATATAAAAAATTTCACAAATTTGTTTATATGATATTAATATTCATAGAAGTTATTTTACAATATAAAATGTTTGGAATCTCATGCTGATAACTGTAAATATAAAAATTACATAAAACTGGAAAAAAAGAAATTAATGTTTATATTCATTTAAGTCTGCATGTTTTATATCAATTGTTTAAAATAGTTTTACAATAAAATGTTTTTAATAAATTACTGTACAGAAAGATAAGATGATTGCTGTAAATATAAATATAAAAAAATACATAATAGTGTTTATGTAAAATTATCTATTTGTTAAAATATTTGCATGTTAATTTATTTGGAAAATATTTGCATAATAATTTAAACTATCAAATTATTATTTCATAATTTAAAATAAGAAATTATTTTAAAATATTTTACAGTTAAAATATGTTGGAGAATCTCATTACTGCACAAAAAATTATCTTAAAACTTTTTTATAAACTTTTACATAATTGTTTTACATTTTAAAATAAAAATATTATATGTTTTATATAAATTGATATACATTTTGACTAGAAAATGTGAGAAAACTGAAAACCTAAAAATTTTAGATAATTTTGTTTTTAAAATGTTTATATTCATTTAAGTCCTTGCATGTTTGATATCAATTATTGAACATAATTTTACAATAAAAATATGTGAGAGAATCTCATTACTGTACAGAAAAATAAGCTTATAACTGTAAATATAAAAATACATAAGATGTTTATGTAAAATCATATAATTATAAAAATCTATGCATGTTTTATAGAAATCATATTTAAATATTTGACAATAAACGTGTCTGAGAATCTCATAACTAGAAATATGTATAAAAACTTTTACATAATTGTTTTACATTTTAATATAAAAATATTCTGTATTATATAAATTATTACAAATTTTGACAAAAAAATATGTAAGAGACAACTGGAACCATGAAAAACTTTGACATAAATTTGTTTTTAAAATGTTTATATTCATGTAAGTCCTTACATGTTTTATATCAATTATTTGATACAATTTTACAACAAAAAATGTGGGAGAATCTCATTACTGTACATTAAAATTAGCTGGAAATGAAAAAACCTTTTACATAAACGTTTGTGCATATAATATTTATATGATATCTGTGTGGAGTTTGCATGTTCTCCCTGTGCTGGTGTGGGTTTCCTCCGGGTGCTCCGGATTTCCTCACAGTCCAAACGCATATAGGGGAATTGATCAACTAAATTGTCTGTAGTGTATGAGAGTGTGTGTGTGAGATATTGAGTGTGTATGAGTGTTTCCCAGTACGGGGTTGTGGCTGGAAGGACAGCCGCTGTCTGAAATATATGCTGAATAGTTGGTGGTTCGTTACGCTGTGGCGACCTCTGATGAATTAAGGGACTAAGCAGCAGGAAAATTAATAAATGAATATTTATATTAATAAAAGTCTTTGAAGTCAATGGTTACCAGTTTTCAGCATTCTTCGAATTATCTTATTTTTTGTTCAACAGAAGAAATAGGTTGAGTAAATAATGTAATATCTTTCATTTTTGAGTGAACTGTCTCTTTAAAAATCCCTAAACCAAAGAGCAGCACACATTAATTACTCCTGAACCACTTTTTGTATGTGTGTGTGTTTTTTTTTTTGTGTGAGCGTCTCAGTAATCAGCTACGGGGCCCCTCGAGCTGTCACGGGACCTGCACATTCCTGACGGTCCCCCAGACGACCAGCTGAGGAGAAATCTCTCTCTCTCACACACACACACACACACACACACACACACACACAAAGACTTCTCCTCATCTAAACCACATTACACAGGTTATTAACACAAGTTCAAGAGCAGTTTGTTTATACTCTATATTTAACATTTACTCTTTGATGTAGTATAATAATTACGGAAACACTTTCCAATAAGATTTGTTAGTTAATGCGTTTGAACAATGAACAATACATTTATTATTGTTAATTAATATAAAAAAAAATGATGCTACATTGGCGGCACGGTGGCTCAGTGGTTAGCACTGTGGCCTCACAGC